GAACTTCGGATTCAAAAAATCAATCCAAACCTATCGGATTGGACTGGACTGGATCGGATTACGAATTTCACGAATTCCTTACTTAGCCCTAATTTGAGAAGCTAATTTTTAACTTTTAATTCATTTTAAGTCCCAACACTTTTTATATTTTTTACATATAAAAAAATAAAAATAAATAAAAAATAAAAAATTAATTTTTAACTAACTTCTCAAATCACCCAATAAATAAGTTAATGAACATCAACTATAAAGTTATTTTTTAAAGGATAAAGATTGGTAGCTCTAAAATCCCTCCCCCTAATCCCCCTAATTTCCTTTTTTAGAAACTGTTTTCTTTTTCTTTTCTTTTTTTCTTTTTTTTTTTTTTTTTTTACTTGAAATGGCAAATTCGGGGGATTCGGGCTCCCCCCTTTCGGGGGATGAAACACTGCCCTTTTTTAAAATATTTTATAAATTAATCATATGCCATTTATCAAGCATGCCAGCCTTAATTTTCGTGTCCACGTGCGCGTTAACCATTTTATCACTTGCCACTTTTTGTTGCTTACCACAAGTCAGAACTAAAGGACAAAGACAAATGACACATACATTTTCTTTTAAAAAACTTTTACCTCCGTTTGGGAGGTGGGTTGGCTTTTTAGCTTTTTGATTTTTTTTTGTTATTTTAGTCTGGGCTTAAAAGTTTAATTTGGAAAAAACTTTTTAGTTTTTTAGCTTTTTTGTGAGAAAAGAATGTAATGATTATGGGTTGGATGTGATATTTTGTTTGTTATGGCTAAAATAGCCTATTTTGTTTTTTGTGGCTAAAATAGCCAAAAAAGCCCAAACCATGGCTTCCCAAACGAAGCCAAATTTTAACTCTTTCTATGGAGAATACAAGCTAGCCATTCAATTTTTAATATCTTTATTTTATGAATTTATTTTTTATTTGACCCCAACAGGTAGTTTTTTTTTTGGGAAAATTAGTCTAAGGTCCCTCTCCCATTTTTAGTAATGGAAGAGATCCACAATATTATTTTTTAATGTCTAAAGTCCCTCAACCCACACCTATCTATCACATAGAAATTTGATATATCTCACTCCATATGAAATTGATTGCTCTCCAAATCTTTCTTTAGAGCAAAATCTCTCTCCATCCTCAGAAAATTGGATCTAGTAGTGAAGCTGTAGAGTTCTTGATCTCATGTTTCTGACGACGATCTCATGTTTCCAGCGATCTCATGTTTCCGGCGCTGGAATCCGATGCAACCGGAACACTTACAGATCTCGATCTCATCATCATCACCCAATGTGCGTAAAATAAACATATTAAATGAAGTGTTAGGTTTGACATATAAAAAAAAATTATCAAATATAGATGATTTTTTTTTAAGCTAATTATCTAAAAGTCCTATTTACAAATGTTATGATAGTTTAGGTCCTATTTAAGATTTTTTAAACCAATAAGTCCTATTTAGTAAAATTGAGAATATTATCAGTTTTTTAAATTTTTAAAATTAAGAACATTATTAATTTTGCATAATAATGTTTCAGATGATTGTTTCGCTAATTGATGAAAAAATAAAAACAGAGCATGAGATTAAACGTTTTTGCTATTCTACTTATTAGTTGATACAACTATCCAATAAAACCAAAAACATTATCAGTTTTTTCATTTTTAATTTTTTTTTTAATTTTGCACATCAATGTTCCATCATCACACTCCTTTATAGACACAAAATTTCAATTTTGCACAAAACAATAATTCTGTTTTTTCAAAAAAAAAAAAAATCACATAATTTTTTTTTGTTTTTTCATTTTGACAGTTGATGTTTTAAAATTTTAAAAATCAAAATAAATGTCAAATCATCATATTCCTTTATAGATAATTATAAATTATGAACAATCATTATTTGAATGTGAACGATCATTATTTGAAGTGTAATTTCAACTATTAAATATTTAATGAGACTTAAAGGTTCAAAAAATCTTAGTTAAGACTTAATTAAATATAAGTTCATAAATTAAAATTTATATGTAAATGGCCCTTTTTTTATAATTAGATTATATGAAAAGTTAACTTAGGTTATTTTTGTCATTTACAATACTGTTGATTTGTTTGTAAATGATATTCTTTGTTATTTTAAATATTAAATCAAAAACGTTGTTCATAGGCTCATTAAACAATAATTTTTAATATGAGTAATGTTAGAAATCTCAAAAATTCTATTAAATTTTTTACGAAATATCTCATATGGATGTCGGATCTAGACCATGTGGGTCTCACACCTATATGAGACATTTGGTAAAAATTTCAACAATGATTGAGACCTATTTTGGGAAGATGGTAAAAAGTAGCTTTTTTGCTTTTAACCAAGTTTTTTGAGTTTTTTGAAAAGTGATTTGAGAAATTGGTAAAAAATTACTTTTTTTTTTTAATTAATATTTGTTTATGGTGTCACATCACACTAAAATGACTAAAATACCCTTACCCAACTTAGAAAATTTATACTTTACCCTAATCCTCAAGATGTAAACGTGGAGGGTACTTACGTAATTTTCCAACCTAATTTGTGGCCACTTCCCAAATGAGCAAAAACGCAACTTGGCGTTTTGTGAGGCCACAAAACGTGGCGTTTTACTCGGCTCTCAAAAGAGCCTTGAGACCTCTTTTTTTGGACCACCACAACTCTTTTTAGATATCAACCATTGATGTGTGGGCTCCACACATGCATGGGTGGGTCTTACACATACATTAATAGTTGAGATCCAAAGGAGGTCGTGGGGGTCCCAAAAAAAGGAATCCCAAGCATTTTTTAAAAAATTTTAGTAGAACTTTAAGGATTTCTAAATTTTTTGTTTTATTATATTTATTATACATTAACAAACATTTATTGTACCTTGCCAAAAACCAAAAACAAAAAATCATTGCTCTGTATGTGTTTATTTTTATTTTTGTATGTGCATTCCTAAATTTATTATTCGCCTGTTTACATATAGGGCTGCAAACAAGTCGAGCCAAGCTTTGCTGAGCTGAAGCTCAAGCTCAAGCTCGGCTTGTTTGCTTATCGAGTTCGTTTATTGAGCTAAAACTCAGCTCAATAAGTAAATGGGCTCAAGCTCGGTTCGACAGGTGAATATCAATGAAACTCGAGCTCGGCTAGATAAGATTTTTTTTTAAATATTATTTATATTATTTAATATACAAATAATATATTTATTATATAATTTAAATAAAGATAAGCGAGCTAAGCTTAATGAGCCGAGCTTATTCGAGCTTGAGTTTGGCTCGTTTACTAAATGAGTCTAATATTCAAGTCCAAGCTCGATTTGTTTACTAAACGAGCCGAGCTGAACCGAACCGAAACCTTAATGAGTCAAGTGGAGTCTATTTGTGAACAACTCGGTTCCCTTGTAACCCTACACACACAAATCTCCAATTGTAAGATGCCCCAGGAGGAAACTTATTGAAATCTAGATTGCTTTAGGAATTGGGTTTTTTAATGATTTTATATTTTCTTCAGAAAAAATAAATAAATAAATGTTAGAGATCTTGAAAGTTTTATCAAAATTTTTATTAAATGTCTCATATGGATGTGGGACCTACACTATGTGAGTCTCACACTCATATGAGATATTTAGTAAAAATTTTGATAGAACTTTTGAAATCTCTAATATTACTCTAAAAATGTACTATTAAGTAGAGGGAATAATTTATTTTTTTTAAGCAATTTTTACTTTTTAACTAAAATTATAAGTTGTCATTATAAACCTCTGTATTAATCAATCATTGTTCTCACCAACACTTTTTGTGTGGGTGTTTGTTGTAAATCTCCATTTTTGTAAGGGAAGTTTTGTCAGTTGTTAGTTGGTTTCTCTCTCAATTTGTATAGTGTTTAGTGAAAATCATCTTCGTGTGCTTATCATCTTTGTGGTTTATCACAATCAATAAAGAGCATTATTATTTAGATACAAAAGTTAGATTTATTTTTTAAATTCAGTATTATATGAAAAAGATGAATAATTAATAATTAAATATTTTTTAATTATTAATTATTATTTTTTAAGACATTACTAAATTTAAAAAGTAAACTTATATATTATTTTTTATTAATAAATGTCAAAACTTGCATCCCCAAAGTCACACGTCTTTTAAGGCACAAAATCAAGCTAGAGAAAGATGAATTTGAAAAGAGAATCAACAAATAATCATTGGCAAAGTCATGGGTAATTTAGGTTGCCAATTTATGTGACATAACATTTTTAATTCTTATAAATTTTTGTGGAGATTTGTTAGGATTAAGTGAGTTTGTTAGAGCATTGATTTTTTTTTAAAAGTAAATTATACACTGTCCTTTTTATACTTGATAATTTTTCACTCAGATTCTATTTTTTTTTTTTTTTATCTTACTCTCAAACTCAACTCTCGTCCAAAATTATATAGAAAATGACACATTGACTACCATATGCTATTAAAATATTTTAGGAGATTTTCTTTTAAGATTCTTGATATTAAGATTTTATAAGATAAAGGACATATAATGTTTTCATAATAGTTGCAGTTCCTCAACATTTTCACAGAAACAATTTGACACAAAGAAATTTCGCTCCGACACAGAGAAATTTCTTTGATTTTACGAAGAAATTTTGAAAATTTCTCTTATTTCATAGAGAAATTTCAAAATTTCTCTGCTATGATCTCAAAGAAATTTCATCAAGGGACCTTAACTAATAAAAAAAAAACATAATACACCTCTTCTACTATTTAAAGTTGGAGAGGAACGTTTCACTAATATTTTTAATATTTTATTATATATAACTCACATTTCTGACACAAATAGTAAGAGGGGAGTTTCTGACTATTATTGAAGTAAAAATAAATAAATAAATGACTTAAATCATAGTTTTGACAATTGATCATTAAGATTTGAAGATACATTGAAATAAATAAATAAAGCCTCTTGCACTTGCTTCACTTGCATTTTATTCAATTTCATGTGCTATATTTTTAAAAACTGTCCTCAATAATGTAGCACGGTAAGGTCACATTGTACGAGCGCGTAGAAAGTCGATGTGTCCACGTTAAGGGTCTCAAATTTTGCAATTCCCCTGGCAAACTTGAATATCCCGGTGCCGCCCACCACGGAGACTTCTCTGACATTAGCAGCTTGTAAACTGCGGCCTTGAATCTCCAGGGTGCTACCATTGTATTCATTGCTAGTAAAAACAATGGAAATCAACACCTGCATATTAGCCCCATCTAGTGAGGACGTCATGTAGATGCCCTGGCCACGTGCAATTTCGGATGAATTCTTGTCAAGGCTTTGTGTTATCGGATCATCGACGACATAAGTGGTTCCAAAACTGTCGAATGCCCAATCGTTGCCTGGGAATCCAGTGAGTGTGTTCACCGTGGCATTCGGGCCGGCGTAGTACTCTTGGAAGTTGAGTGTCATGTTGGTTTCTATGAATTGGTATTCATAGGCTTGTGAGGATGCAAATATGACTAGAAGGAAGAGGAAAGGCAATTTGGTGAGTGTTGCAATTGACTTTGGTGCCATTGGGAGGTGATCGATAGCTACTAACTCAATAACCAATGGCTAAGCCAATATAATGAAGGGCTTTTGTATTTCTTAGTGATCTGTTGGTGTAATAGCCTCTATTTATAGAGAGAGGGAGAGAGAGTTTAGCAATAAAAAAAGAATGATTTATACAAAAAATTGATACAAAAAAATTTATAAAAAATGATATGTAAATATTATTATAAATAAATGACTGTTTAATCTAATAAAAGGTCTAGCTAACAAGTAGCCGAAGGACACTAGTTAAGGTGTAATAAATACAGTTAAAATATTGAAAAAAATTATAATAAATGCAGTTAGGTATTAACAGAGCCAACTATTCATTATTTATTTCTATAATTTGAATGCTAATCATAAATACTTATAATATACTTTTGGGCAAACTTTATTTTACCCCATATGATTTGGACCATGTGCAGTTTATCCCTTAACATTTGGAAATGACCGCATAATCCCCACGCAGTTTGTGGTTTGAAGTGTACCGTTAAACATTATGTCTGACTTAATAGTAATTGTGAAACACATGACAAATATGAGATGCTCATTTTTAAATTTCAAAGAGATAAATCACACAGAATAAAACGCAAAGGGTTAAAGTGTCCTTTGCGTCCAATCAAATGACGAAAATATAAGGATATTTTAACATTTTTCATTAAATTGTTAATGGGTTTAATGATGCACTTCAGTTTACAAATCATAATGGGGTTATATGGTCATTTTCAAATATTTGGGGGCGTAAACCATACATAGCTCAAACTATGGGATTAAGTGAAATTTGTCCTTTACTATTTAATGACCATTTTAACCTTAATCTTTTATAAAGAAAATTAACTCTTTCTATTGAGAATACAGCTGGCCGTTCAATTTTTTATTTGACCTCAACACGTAAAAATTTCTTTTCTTCTTTCAAAACAAAAAATTTTATAAAAAAAAATTCCAAATAAAAATTAATTTTGATATGAAAAATAAGTTAACATTATTGCTAATCATATGTAGATATATATATATTTTTTAAAAAATTACTATTCTCTATCCAAAATTAATAAACATATTAAATGAAGAGTTAGGCTCAATGTGTAAAAAAAAAAAAAACTATCAAATATAGATGATTTAGATTATTTAACAAAAAGATTATGAATTTGTCTAAACCACCGGTATCCGGAAGTCCACAGGACCCCGACTAATCCGGTTCTAGCCGTGTAGGACCACAAGGGCGGCAGAACTCTCCCAACAAGGTCTTAAACACAGCTACGTTCCCAAGTCTCGAACCCGAGATTTTTTTTTATTTATAATTAGATTACATGAAAAGTCAACTTAGGTTATTTTTGTCATTTACAATATTGTTGATTTGTTTGTAAATGACATACTTTGTTATTTTAAATATTAAATCAAAAACTTTGTTAATAGGCTCATTAAACAATAATTTTTATTTTATTTATTATACATTAACAATCATTTATTGTACCTTGCCAAAAAAACAAAAACAAAAACAAAAAATCATTCCTCTGTATGTGTTTATTTTTTATTTCTGTATGTGCATTCTTAAATTTATTGTTGGTTTGGTCAAATAGGCTGCCAACGAGTCAAGGTGAGCTGGACTTTTCTAAGTTCAAGCTCGGCTTGTTTGCTTATCGAGCTCGTTTATTGAGCTCGAACTCGGCTCGATAAGTAATTGGGTTCGAACTCGGCTCAATAAGATTTTTTTAAAAATATTATTTATATTATTTAATATATAAATAATATATTTATTATATAATTTAAATAAAGATAAACGAGCTGAACTTGACGAACTGAGCTTATTCGAGTTTGAGTTTGAGTTCGAGTTCGAATTCCGCCCGTTTACTAAATGAGTCTAATATTCGAGTTCGAGCTCGACTCATTTACTAAACGAGCTAAACCGAACCGAATCCTTAACGAGTCGAGCCGAGCCTATTCATGAACCGTTCGATTCTTTTGTAGCCCTTAACACACAGATCTCCAACTGCAAGATGCCCAAGGAGGAAACTTATTGAAATCTGGATTGCTTTAGGAATTGGGCTTTTTAAATGATTTTATGCTTTCTCCGGGAAAAAAAAAAATGTCCTAACAAGTAGAGAGAATAATTTATTTTTTTGTAGTGATTTTTGCTTTTTGACTAAAATTATAAGTTGTCAAAATAAACCTATGTATTAATCAATCATTGTTCTCACCAACACGTTTTGGGTGGGTGTTTGTTGTAAATCTCTTTTTTTGTTAGGGAAGTTTTGTCATTTGTTAGTTGGTTTCTCTCTCAATATGTATAGAGTTTAGTGAAAATCATCTTTGTTTGCTTATCATCTTTCTTGCTTATCACAATAAATAAAGAACATTACTATTTAGACTCACTTTTTAGATTCAATGTTATATGAGGAAAATGATTCGCTAATAATTAAATATTCTTTAATTATCAACAAATTATTTTATTAACGCATCATTAAATTTAGAAAATGAATCTAAAACGTGAACTTATATATCATTTTTCCATTAATAAATGTCAAAAATTGCATTCCCAAAGTCGTACATCTTTTAAGGCACAAAATCAAGCTAGAGAAAGACGAATTTGAAAAGAGAATCAACAAATAATCATTCGCAAAGTCATAGGTAAATTAGGTTGCCAATTTATGTAACATTAAATTTTTAATTCTTATAAACTTTTGTGGAGATTTGTTAGGATTAAGTGAGTTTGTTAGAGCATTGATGGGTGTTTTATATATAATTATACACTGTCCTTTTTATACTTGATAATTTTTCACTCAGATTCTATTTTTTTTTTTTTTTTATCTTACTCTCAAACTCAACTCTCGTCCAAAATTATATAGAAAATGACACATTGACTACCATATGCTATTAAAATATTTTAGGAGATTTTCTTCTTTTTTTGAACTTACTCTCAAGCTTAACTTTTGTCCAAAATTATATAGAAATTGACACGTTGACTACTACATGCTATAAAAATATTTTAGGAGATTTTTTTTAAGATCCTTGATATTAAAATTTTATAAGATAAATGGCATACAATATTTTTATAATAGTTGGAGTCCCTCAATATTTTCACACAAAAAAATTCGACACAGAGAAATTTTTCTCCGACGCAAATAAATTTATCTGATTTTATTAAGAAATTTTTAAATTTTCTTTTGTATGATCACAAAGAAATTTCATCAACGAACCTTAGCTAATAAAAAATATATATATTAGACCTCTTCTACTATTTAAAGTTTGAGATGAATGTTTCACTAATATTTCTAATATTTTATTATATATAACTTATAGTTCTGACGCAAATAGTAAGAGGGGACTTTCTGGTCATGTTTGATTCACTTCACTATTAGTGAAGCATTAATAATCCTATCAAATTAGTGTGGTGTTAACTATCCCACCCCTACCCCATTACTAATAATCCTACAAATTTGTTGGATTAATTATCCATTGGATTAATAATCCTAAACCAAAGTATCAAAACAAACATAGGATAATTGGGCCCACGGATTAATAATCCCAATCCCATGCTTTAATCCCTCCAATCAAACATGCTGTCTGAGTATTACTAAAGTACAAATAAATAAATAAATGAAATCATAGTTTTGACAATTGATCATTAAGATTTGAAGATGCATTTAAATAAATGAATGAATAAAGTCTCTTGCACTTGTATCACTTGCATTTTATTCAATTTCATGTGCTATATTTTTGAAAAACCATCCTCAATAATGTAGCACAGTAAGATTACATTGTACGAGCGCATAGAAAGTCGATGTGTCCACGTTAAGGGTCTCAAATTTTGCAATTCCCCTGGCAAACTTGAATTCCCCGGTGCCGCCCACCACGGAGACTTCTCTGACATCAGCAGCTTGTAAACTGCGGCCATGAATCTCCAAGGTGCTACCATTGTATTGATTGCTTGTAAAAACAATGGAAATCAAAATGTGCGAATTTGCCCCATCAAGTGAGGACGTAACGTAGATGCCCTGGCCACGTGCAATTTCAGGTGAATTCTTGTCAGGTTTTTGTGTTATCCGATCATCGGCGACATAAGTGGTTCCAAAATTGTCGAATATCCAAGCCTTGCCGGGGATACCCGTGAGTGCGACCATCGTAGCATTGGGGCCGTCGTAGTAGTCATGGAAGTAGAGTGTCATGTTGGTTTCTATGAATTGGTAGTTATAGGCTTGTGTGGATGCAAATATGGCTAGAAGGAAGAGGCAGGGAAATTTGGTAAGTGTTGAATTGATTTTGGTGCCATTCGGAGGTGGTAGATAGCTACTAACTCAATAACTAATGACTAAGCCAATATAATGAAGGGTTTTGTATTTCTTAGTAATGTATTGGTGTAATGACCTCTATTTATGGGGAGACGGAGAGAGTTTAATAATAAAGATCAAAAAAAAAAAAAAAAAAAAAAAAAAAAGAAAAATTAA